AATCAAAAGAGCTTTTTACTAAAGGCTGTGTCAGAGTAATGTGTTTGGTTTGCATATGTAGTTATTGCCTTAATTCCAGTGTTATTTTTTTCTCGTATACAATCCATTTAAAGCCATATCACAATGTTGCAATAATGCAGTGTTCGTAAAGCATAATTCTCACTGCTTTTACTCTAATCAGGATACCAAATGGAATGTGATTCAAAATCTCGAACAGGGGGAGGGTGATTACTTTTATGACATTAGATTTGGCAATCATTTCTTGGCTATGACACCAAAGGCACAGGTAACAAAAGAAGAAAAGACAAGTTAGATTTCATGAAAAAAAACTTTTTAATTGTGCATTACAAGACACTGTCAACAGAGTAGACAGACAACCCATAGAATAGGAGAAAATATTGTAAATCATGTATCTGATAAGTGGTTAATAACCAGAATATATAGAGAATTCCTAAAAACACAAGTACAAAACAACCCTATTCAAAAATGGGCAAAGGACTTAAATAGACATTTCTCCAAATATCTATGAATGGCCAGTAAGTGCATGAAAAGATACACATCATCATTAAACATTAGGGAAAAGCAAATCAAAACCACAATGAGATACTACCTCATACCCATTTGGATGGATATCAAAAACCAGAAAGCACGTTTTGGCAAGATGTAGGGGAATTAAAACCTTGTACAATCTTGGTGGGAACTTAAAATGGGACAGCCACTAGTGGAAAGCGGCATAACATTTAATTAAAAAACTTAAAAATAGAACTACTATGTGATCCAGCAATTCCACTTTTAAGTCCCCTCCCCCCCAAAAAATAATTAAAAGGATTTTGAAGAGATATTTATACACCCACGTTCTTAGCAACATTATTCACAATAACTGAAACATTGAATCACCTCAAATGGATCCATCAACAGATGAATGAATGGGTAAGCATGTTTTGGTATATACATAAAATTGAATATTACTCAGCCTTAGGAAGGAAATTCTGCAACATGCTACAACCTTGAGGTCATTATGCTAAGTGAAATAATCCAGTCACAAAAGGCAAATACTATGTGCTTTCACCTTTATGAGGTACTTAAAAGTAGTCAGAATCATTAAGACAAAGTAGAATGGTTGTTGCCAGGGGCTGGGGAAAGGAGAATGAGGAGTTATATTTAATAGAGTAACTTCCAGTTTTACAAGATGAAGAGTTATGGATGTGGATGGTAGTGATGGTTGCACAACATTATGAATGCATTTAATACTACTGATCTGTACACCTAACCGCTAATATGGTAAATTTTATGTGTATTTTTCACTAATTTAAAAAAAAAATGAGGAAAAAGTAAAAATTATTCCTTAAAAAGATACATTTTTAAAATAATTTTATTCCTATTTAAAGTCAAATCTGGCTGCCAAAATGATACCAAAATATAAAACAAAGGCTGTTTGTTTTAATACACACAACATGTTTTCTCTGCTTTGTTGTTATGTATATATTATGTAATTTCAGTTCTTTGCTATTTGAAGTGAAGTTATAACTGATTTTTATTGAATAATGGCCCTTTGGCATTTTATAATCTATTTAATGGAGTAGTGTATTAGTTTTCTATTGCAGCATAGCATATTACTGTAAACTTAGATGCTTAAAAGTAGCATCCACTTGCCAACTCATAGTTCTGTTGAAGCTAAGTTGGGTTCAGCTGAGTTCTTTGTTTAGGGTTTCACAAAGCCAAACTCAAAGGTGTTGGCCAGCCTAGGCCCTTATCTGGAGACTCAGGGAAGAATTTGCTTCCAAGCTCATTCCAGTTGCTAGTGTAATTTAGTTCCTTGCAGCTAGCTTTAAGTTTGAGGTCCACGTTTCCTTGCTGACTTCTCAGCCACGGGCTGCTTACTCTCTGCTCCTTAGAGCCTGCCTGCAATCCTCCCATGGCCTCTCCGTCTTCAAAGCCAACACTGGTGTGTCATGTCCTTCTCACCCGTTTTCTTGCCCTTCTCCCAACCAAAGAAAACTTTCAGCTTTAAAAGAGCTCTCATGAATGTGTCAAACCCTGCTGGATTATCTGTATCTTATGATGGACTGAATTGGGACTTTAATTATGTCTCCAAAACCCCCTCACAGCTTTACTTAGGTTAGAGTTTGATTAAATTACCAGGGGATTGGAATATGGGGAGACCATCTTTAGTATTCTGTCTGTCACCGGTAGTAGTCTGAAGGTTTTGGGTTCTGGTGGACTGTTTAGTAATCCTGAACTTGGACTCTAAGGTTCTTGAGACCAGAAACAGTCTTATTCATCTGTGTAGCCCAGTGTGTGGCAGTGTCATGTATACAAGCAGGAATTCAGAACATGTTAAATTAAATGAAATCACAATGAGATCATTTTACCTCTTTTTTTATCTTTATTGTTATCAAAAGTTCCTTATGAATTAAAACTGAGCTGGTGAATGCATGTATGAGTCTATAAAAACTCTAAACAATTACTGTAGGGGTAACATACAGTATCCCCACTTAATTTTTTTTTAAGTTAAATCTTAGGTCTAGTGATTAGAAATAGGACATAGGTTTTCTGACATGCTAGGTTCCTAACTTTTAATAATGTATTACATATATATATAGTGCTTTAGGTTTTACAGAGCACCTTTTTTACTCTGCTGTTTAATTGAACCTATTCAGGAGCCTTGAAAATTAGTACAAATCATAAGAACTTTTATACAGATGAGAATAAACCGAAAAAAATTTGACCAGGATCACCTACTAATAAGCAAAGCTAGAAATTTGAAGTCAACCCTTCTACATAGGAAATACAGTTTGTACTTGCCATTTAATCATCTCTTTTAAAAATTTTCAATAGACTGGGGTGCCTGGGTGGCTCAGTCAGCTAAACTGACTTCGGCTCAGGTCATGATCTCATGGTTTGTGAGTTTAAGCCCTGCGCTGGGCTCTGTGCTGACAGCTCAGAGTGTGGAGCCTGGTTCGGATTCTGTTGTCTCCCTCTCTCTCTGTCCCTCCCCTGCTCATGCTCTGTCTCTGTCTCAAAAATAAGTAAAACATTAAAAAAAATTTTTTTTTAGTTTTTCAGTAGAAAGTTTTGTACTCTTGATGCTTAAAATTGTAAGGGTTTAAGAGAAGGGGAGTAAGTCACAAATTCTTTTCCCTTCTAGTGCCTTGGACATCATTTAGTTATGTGGATTTTCTAGTGTTCATCTATTGATTTTTCTCCCACTTTGTGGCCTGTAAGTCCTTACTGCATTATGTAGCATAACTTTTTTAATTCTGCTTTTAGATATCAGTACAGATTGTTAGAAATCCTCTTGAACAAATTAAAGAGGAAAGTAAATAGAAACAGAAGACAGTACCAACATGCAGAAGGTCTCATAGGCAGGAAGCACTGACATATGCATCTGTGTGCACTTCCATGCCGTTTTCTTCTTTATTTTTTCTATTTTTCTTTTGTTATTGCTAAATGACTCTGGTAATCCGGAGTCAAAACTCCCCCAAATATAGTGCTTCTTATATTTCAAGACCTTTGGATACAAGGTCACACTGGATACAAGGACACACTGGTACTGCAGATTCTCATTTTTTCTTCTTCTTCCTCTTCGAGAGAAAGAAAGACAGAAAGTGAGAGTGAGTGAGTAGGAGAGAATCTTAAGCAGGCTCTTTGCCCGGCATGGGGCCCGATGCGGGGTTCAGTCTCACCACAGTGATATCATGACTGAGCCGAAATCAAGAGTCAGATGCTCAACCAACTGAGCCACCCAGGAATCCCCAGATTCCCATTTCTGTTGGTTTTACATAAGGCTTTTTTTGGGTGGAAGAATGAAATAGTGGCTTTTTTTTTTTCATATGCAAAGCATACTAATCTAGATATTAAGAAGGACTGGGGCTCCTGGGTGGCGCAGTCGGTTAAACGTCCGACTTCAGCCAGGTCACGATCTCGCGGTCCGTGAGTTCGAGCCCCGTGTCAGGCTCTGGGCTGATGGCTCAGAGCCTGGAGCCTGTTTCCAATTCTGTGTCTCCCTCTCTCTCTGCCCCTCCCCCGTTCATGCTCTGTCTCTCTCTGTCCCAAAAATAAATAAAAAACGTTGAAAAAAAAATTTAAAAAAAGAAAATGAAGATGGAAATTAAAAAAAAAAAGAAGGACTTTTTCACCTGTTTTATGTTTGGTACCAAACTAGCTTCCTGGTTTTAATGTGTATGAATGATAGATACCTATTGGGGATTGGGGTTGAGAGGTAGATTGGAAGGAGGTGGGAAGAAATAAAGTGTTTAAAACCTGTCTGGCTTCATTTCATAGGCACTTCAGCTGCTTTCCCAAACCAGAGCCTGGTATCACAAACTAGAGCTGGTTGTCCCAGCGGGTGTCCAGGTCGTGTGATCTTCCAGTCTTGCTGAATGAAATGCATATTGTAACTGCCCTCTTTTCTTTCTGCTTCTTTGCCTTACCCTAGACCAGGCAAAAAGGATTCCATCATTAATAAACTGGTGGTGTGCCTCTTTATAGTGTTAAAAAGACTCAGTAGATATGTGGTTGTACTCTGACTCAGTGTGCATTTAAAGCATTCTTAGTAAGTTTGGAAACTTTTCTAAGCATAGCTACTTAAAATCACTCAGGTGTGTGTGTGTGCGTGTGTGTGTGTGTGTGTGTGTGTGTTTGTATGTTTTCCTCACCTTAGCTAAAATGTAATATGTTATAAAATTCTTAAGAAGTATATTTTATTTTAGTGTATCTAATTAGTTACTTTATAAGTTCCATTTAACTCAGTTAACATGGAAATTTTGGCCATTTGCTGACTTAAAGAAAATACCAAAATACCCACAGAAGGATTTTAGAGAATCTTCTATAAGTGTGATTCTGGGAGGAATCAATACTTTTTTACTTAAAACCAACTTTGATTTCCTCATTTCCAGTACTTTGTGCAGGTAGTTTCTCTGTGGTTTAGGATTATGAATTAAGCAACAAACATTTTGTTTCAGTGTGAAATTTAATACGAATCTTTCTTGTGTGTTCAGCGGCCTTTGCAATCCTTTGGACAGACAGGAAAAAGGTCTAAGGTATAGTAAATATATTTTGTGCTGGCATGCCAAGGGCCTTCCTTCATGCTTGATGAATCCTTGTTTTCATACAGCGCTGCATTCAGTTTAGTTTTGTCATATTTTGTTTGGGGCAGAAAGCTTATTTTGTTTTATTTGGGGTTTTTGTCTTGCCTAGTCGCTTTTGTGCATTGCTTTTATACCTTTAATGGTTCTCTATCTATAGAGAAAATGGCTTTCTCACCATTCTTGGTTTTTGAAATTGGAATTAGTCCCATTCTTGCTATTGCTGTAGTTTTCAAAACTATATTTGTTTTCCCTCTTAACAAAGGGTTTTAGTGGTATTTAATGATATATTTAACTTGCGCATTTCACCTACTTTTATATATGGCAGAAGCTATAAAGAAACTTTAACTCTAGGGGGCTTTTGGATATGCCCTAGATTTGTGAAATGTAGTGTTAATTTTAAATACTTCTCTTTAGTCGAGCTCAAAGTTAAAGCTAGTTCGGAGCCTTGCAGTGTGTGAAGAATCTCCACCACCCCCTACAGCAGAGATATCACAGGAGAACCAGGTAAAAAAAAAAAAAAAAAAAAAAGAAAAGAAAAGAAAAGAAAAAACAAAAACAAAAAATTGTTATTTAAAGGCATGGTACAATAACCTGCTTCCTGGAGAGTATTTTTTCATAAGGTTAAATAAAAGTTGTATATGCATGTGTGTGCATTATGTATGTGTTTTCATTTGTTTGCTTTATTTTAAATGAGTGAAGCTAATTTCATAATACCACCAAAGATACAGATAAAAGTCGGGAAAACCTCATTGCTTCAATCTGAGGCTTGGTGCAGTGGTTTCTCTCTGGAGAAATGTAGGGATTATATAATTAACTGGGAAGATGACTTTAAGGGATTATAAATTATTATTGAAACGTTATAAAATATTAAGTAGTATTTCTGAGCATAATTGTGATGAAATTTGCCCTTGTTATTTTGGCTTTTATAAATTTGTTAAACACTTACTGCTTGTGTGTGAAGAGGAGACTACCCAAGACTTTGGCTTGATATATTATTTTACTTATTAACCTGAATGCATGCTGAAGCCAGTTTTCTAGTTAGGTTGGCCATAATAGTTTAATACTTCTAATTTCTCTTCTGTCTGTGCCTGTAAAATATTAAACAACTGAGGTTCAAGCAAATGGTTCAGTTTGCCTTTTATATATTCTTTTTAATGCTATGACTTTACTTTTCTGATAATCTTAGCCATGCATTGATCTTTGTCTCATGTTACCTTTGGACATTTATCCCTAAATAATTTAGGACGCTTTACCAATGTTTTTATCAGTGTGATAACTTTGCCTGTTGGTGATTTGTTCTACTTAAGAGTTTGAGCAGCCTGATATCCCGTTCTGTATCAATAATAATTTTCAAAGAATTGAAGCAACTGTTTGGTTATTTAAGAAACTGTGAGTAAAACAAGGAAAGGGGGGGAAAAAGGCCATGATAGGTTGTACAACCTTTTTTTTTTTTAAATAAATGCCAGTTGTACGTTAATTCAAAAGAAAAAAAAAGATTGTTATACTTTGCCTTGATTTAGAAGCTGATGCCCTCAAAAGCCTATTATAGATGTGAAAGATAGTTGTCACATATTTAGAACATGTTGGGTTTTTTAAAACCACTTCACTTCTTTGTTTCCAAAATACAAGAAAAGGAAGGTTTTGAAAATATTTATTGTCAACGAAGAATGTATAAAAATTAGTTTCCTTTGAAATTTGTTCAAGTGTCAGGAACATAGTGTTCAAATTGTATGATTTTTATTGAAGATTTAACTACATAGATAAAAGATAGCTCTATGTATTTATTCTATAAAATAGATACGCTTTAGTAATAATGAACTTTCTAGCAAGAAGCAGAAACACAATCAAATGTTTTCTTAAGAACTATTGCCTAGACAACATGTTTTAAATGTTAACCTTTGGCTTTTACATGGTTGTTAATAAGGCTAGAGAGTTATGGTATACTTTGGAAGAAATCAATGAAATTGTTTTTGAAATAGCAATTTTAAAAGTTATTTTGTACAAGAGTGAAGAATACACCTGTACAAGGTGGAGCGGTGGATATTGTAATTTTTTTGAAAATCCATTTTTTCATTCTGTTGGCCAAAATGTTACACCATCTTAGCCTCCTGGAATTAGTCCAAGGATATTGAGGAAATGAAAAGGGTCATTCATAATTAGACTGCTAATACAGAAAAAGTGCATACTTGATGAGAAAAAGGATAAGGTGATCTTTGTACGTTTTAACCTGATCTGAAAAATAGTGGAGGGAAAATTCTGATAGTGCTACATAAATATATCTAGTGAAAATTCATGTGAAAAATTAATATCAAGAGTGTACATTATATATTAATGTATACATTTTTGATCACAATTTTCCTGTTTATATAAAGTTCAGAAACTAAGTTACAGCATATGAATGAGGAATAAAGTATTTATGCCAGAGTTCAGTATTCCACTTACTAGATTCTTTCTCAGTTTCTCTTGGATACAATAAATTCTTTATTTTCAGGTAAAAACCCATTATTGTTCTCTCAGAGCAAAAGATATTCCTTTTAGTAGAAAGTCATCTTTTTCCAAGCCTTGACTTAACAATTGCACCTGAACGAGAATTAGAAAATAAACTATTTCCCATGAAATGTGCTGGTATCTAATTCTTGGTAGTAGAGACATTTTCCAACTAATAATGCCTGCTTCAGAATGTGATTTTTGAGGAATTAATCTGGAATAAAACTCATTAGTCAAAAGGTTGAGAGGCAATTAAAAAAGAGATGTCACTTGTGTCTGATGAGAGCTTATGAGAGGGAAGTGACCTCAATAACAGATGTCAATGACAGAATGAAGAGTAAAGGCATTACAGCTTCCTGTGGAGATGTTGCTATCCTTCCAATTATTTATAGTCAGAAGAGTTCGTTTAAAAGGACTACTGGGTTTTTGAATATGTCTCGTTGATTTGCTACTAAAAACAAGGCCTTGGTACCAACTGAAAGCAAGGCCTTGGTGTATGAAGCCTACCGTATTTTTAAATACAGTTCATCGTGACAAAATAGTTTAATATCTGTAATTAAAATGTAGGGCTTTGGGAAGGGAATTTAGAGATGAAATCTGATACTCAGTGGAAGCTGCTTTTAGTGAAGGCCTAAATGTGAAATCTTCCAACTGGATTCTATAGGTTATTCTTGAGTTAGGAGTAAAATCTATAAGTCAGGAAAACTTCTGTAATATTCTACTTCTGAAACATAGCTCTGGGATTCATTTTTAAATATCTGTTTTACATATAGGAATAGAATAAGGAAAGTGGATAAGAAAATGAGTCATAGTGAGAAGAATGACTTTTACCAATTGATGAATGTATGAAGTTGATTAATATATGAAGTTTGGTAAGCAAGACAAAGGAGGGCATAAAGCAGATGTTCATCATTCTACTAAAAATTGCTAGTCCAGAGCTTGTGCCCTATATTCTAAACCCAAATTTGAAGTGAGATGAAATAGGAAGCAGAAGAACAAAGATAAAAATAACAGTCAGCAACCCTATAGGAAAAAGTACATACATATATTTGACCAGAAATTCTGTCAAATATTCTTTCCAAAAAAAATTACATGGGTAAAAAAAGGTTAATAAAATTCTTGTGACTTCAAGTTCAACTCCTGAAATTTATATCCTTTTTGATGTTGATTTATTACACTTATTTCCATGGCAACCATCACCCAGAAAAGTGAAGTAATTGATCAGTGTTTTTCATCAATAAATAATAGTATCATTTAGTCTACAAAAAGGTCATACCTCTGTCTTTAGTAGAAATGATCTGGAAATTATTCTACCTTTATGACTTGGCTTGAATAGATTTGTGACTTTTTTTTTTTTTTTTTTTTTTTTTGCCTTTTTAGGCTATGTGAATTAATTTCCAGTAATTTCTTTGGGCTCTGAAATTACATTTAATGTTATTATTTTTGAAATGGAATGTAGAATTCCTTTTTCTATTTTATAGAATATGATTACTTCACAGGGTTAAATATTACATATCCAGAAGGAAAACAATCTTGTTTGAAACCTTTCTAAAACATGGTGGTGATTGAAAGAGGAACAGTAATATGTCATTCATAAATAGAAAATAATCAGATGTGTGGATTTGGTTTTGGAAAATCTGTACTTACATTTTTATATGGCAAGAGAATTGGAAGAGTGTGAGATTATAAAGGATACTCAAAAAACTATTTTTTTGTTAAGTGTTGGCTTGATGCTCACTTGTTCTTACTGTCATGATTGAGATCATTATTCTTTTGTTTGGCAGTGGCATCTCCAGTACAAAAATAGGCTAAGAAGACCTTGCTTCTGACCCTCCAAGGGTTTTACAAGTAGATATATTCAGAGTAACATAGAAAATATCTTATGTTCTGTAAAGTAATTTTGAGGACACGTTTAAATTGATACATTCAACTCAAAACATTAATTTTAACATTTTCTATCAAGACTTTGATATAAGTGGTAAAATATTAAGTTGTATTCCAGTATGAAGAATCTAATTAGTTAACATAAAAATCTTTATCCTTTTTCTCCTCCATACAGTTTTGTGTTACTCAAAAAATATAAATGTGTGGTATTAGCTGAATTGCTTTATATTTTCATTTATAACTGATTTTGCCTTCCAACAGGAGAAAATTCAGATCCAGTTAACGCAATCATTTGAAAAAGAGGAGAAGCCCTCAAAAGATGAAGCAGAAAAAGAAAAAGCCAATGATAAGTTACCCAGAAAAATGTTATCAAGAGGTTTGCAATTTATTCGTTTTCAAACAAAATTTTAATTTTACTGTCAATAATTCCATCCTTTATCCCTTGAAACTTTATGTATAATATATCTCTAGTAAAAATGATAACAGAACAGACTTAAGGGATGTTAAAATAATTTGCTCATCTGGGCAAAATGGCATAACACAAATCTGAACATCAGTAAGATGCTTCAGCCAAAGAAACTGCAACATATGCCAAAATCACTGAGGCAGATAACTGTCTTGACCTCTTATTGGTCTCTCATAATGAAATACTGGAATCACTATGATTTGAATACTTGAGTCTGTTAAAAATAGTATTACTCTTTAATTCTATATGATACAACAAGCTGATGCCAAAATATGCAGTATCTGTTAAGAATATTCTTGGAAACCCAGAATGTTTATCTTTCATAACAAATTTCAAGGAACTTCATCATCTAGCATTACAAGTCAATGACAATACTTCTTTAATTTATAAAACCAGTTACATTGGCCAGTATTATGAACAGTGTGAGTATATTATATTTAAGGGGAAGAATGTAAACATGAATATCTGAAAAACTATTTTGAAAGCAAGCCTTTGGTGATAGGCCTGATCAAATCTAAATACTTTTTCAGAACTAGAATTCCTACCTACTTCCAACCTATTGCCTCTACTTATGTTCTTAACTGAACTAAACTGTCTTAATTTGTGCTAAATATGGATAATTATTTAATTCATTCAAATTTTTCACTTGAGGCATTTTTGATCATGAGAATTGTGGTGAGTATATAAAAGGATCTTTAAAGACTTTAGAGTAAATTAAACAGGCATGTGTGAGAGAAAAAAAATTAAGAATATGCATGAACATGCAGTTATATAAATCTTTGTCATGCTCATTATTTGGGAGTAGAAAGCTTGTGGTCATTTGAGTTCATCGTAAATTCCCTTTTCCTTCCTTGTCAGTTTTTTCCCATGTGGGGCATCTCATTTTGTTTAAAATATGCATCATGTGTAAAAGGGAAAGGGATTTGTTTTCAGACAACTTTATACTGGGTTTTTGTGTTGTTGTTTTTTAGATTCCAGTCAAGAATACACTGATTCAACTGGCATAGATCTACATGAATTTTTAGTAAATACATTAAAAAACAATCCCAGGTAAAAATTAAATTTATAAGGTTTACATTGCTTGGAGTGCCATAATTTTGCTATGTTTGTTTTCATTACTGAGTTAGAATATTAGAATAAGATTGCAGTGTTTGAAGTACACCAGAAACATTTTAGTTTCCTAGGGCTAAGATGTTGTTGGTCTACTGTATGCACATGTATAAATATTTTTTTTTGCATTTTTCATGTCCCATGATATAAAAATAATTCATTCTTTTTGTAGGAATTTTTGGAAATACAGAATCACCAAGATATTTGACTCTTAATTGAGGTAGAGAGGTAATCATGAATCGTGGAAAAGAAAAAAAAAAAATTCCCTTACAATAATACACTCACCCAAATAAGAACTTAGTGTATTCATTTTGAGTTTTTGAACTTGACTAAATGCAGAATTTTTGTTCACTCTTGTGTATTAACCTTCAACCTAAAGATTTTTAAGGTCCTTTTGTGGGTCACTGTGAAACCCTTTGTGTTGCCAGGGTACTAATGAATACACTCTAACTTTCTGGCAGGTCATTGACCCCTTTGTGGCCTTCTCCCCACAAAAAGCCTTATCTACAAAATATCTGCCTAACACTTTCATGGGGTAGAAGACTCCAAGGCTAAGAATCCCTCCTCTAGATATTAGCTGTACATGGTGGTAGTTCTTTAACGTCCATTAAAATGAAAGTAAAACCCTTTCTCTGGGTATATGCATATGGAAGATAACAGGAATAACTCTCTCTAGTCTCTTTGAGGCTTATCTTGTGTCATGCTTCAAGATAATCTTTATTTTCATTCAGGATTTATTGTATTCAATATCATCTTGGTTTTCTGTTGTATATTTAACATAAACCCCAAAAAGAGAACCACCAAAATGAAAAGTGGTCTTCTTGTAAATGGGGTTGAAGGAGTATAGTATGGAGTGAGGAAGAAAATAAGACAAGTCTGCATGACTTTTTTTTTCTTCAGTTTAAGTTTATTCCTCACTGGTCACAACAGAATGATTAATCCATTAGTTCATTGAACAGGCATTTACTGAACATCTGTCATATTCCAAGCTTTGTGCTAAAAACACTGTAAATAGAAAGATGGAGATATAATCCCTACCCCAAAGTATTAACCATGTCTGAGCTAGGAAAAAACATAGGATATATAATTAAAATTAAATTTTGATGTTGTAAAAGAAGTTTTTGGATGTGCTATAAAAACACAGCGGGGGGGGCCCAACCTCTTTTTGAAAGGATATCGGAAGACTTCACTGAAAAAATAAGCCTGGGCTGAGCCATGAATTCATAGTGTTTTAAGTGGAAGCAAGCTGGCCATATAGAGAAGCATGAGAAAGGCATTCTAGGATAGATATAAGTGCACTGACAAGGCACAGTAGTGTGAGAGAGGAAGTGGTATATCCAAGGAAAGTCTAGCAGGGAGGCATGTGGTAAGTGATTCCAGAAAGTGATGGGGAAGATGTTGGTGAGGTATGAAGACAGACCATATCCAGTTGTTCTCGACCTAGGACTGTACCAACACTGTGGGGTGGTGAGCCCATTGAGTGTGCAGTGCTGCTGGGATGCCAGGGATCCTAAAGAGATCTTTAAGACAGTAATGAACAATGAAAAATAGTGAGTAGTGCATCATTTAAGAAGTACTGAGTATGGCATGCTAAGTTGAGGAGTAACTAAAGAATTTTGAATAGGGTAATGCCATAATAGGTATAGGTATTTTAGAAAGATTACGTTGGCAGTGAGGGGCCAACAAAGAATGTGGATAGGACACCATAGAGAGGAATAGAGAGGAAAGGACATGTTTGAAAGATACTTAGGAAGCATCAAAGCAGGACATAGTGATGATTTGGATATAGAATGGTTATGATGTAGAATAGCTACTAGGTTTCTGGCTAGCCCCATTAACTGAGTCCCATTAACAGTCCCATTAACTGAGAAAGTGGGTAAGGGGCAAGCCTGAGTAGAATCGGGCATGTTCTAAGTATAGTTTGAGGTGCCACGTGAAACAGCAGGAGATGTGATCTCACAGCAGTTAAAATGCTCTGGTTTTCAAGTATATGAAACTTGAGTAATAGGTTTGGGAGTCACTTGTAGAGATGAAGCTTGAGAAGGATTAAAATGACAAGGACAAAATTCTGTGGGAAGACAGGATAGAAAAGGTAGATGAGAAAGGAAGAGACCAAGTCCTAAAAACGGAAGAATCATGAGAACATTTATCTTAGAAGTTTGACAGGGAGTTGAATGGGGGGAGCTGTTTCATGGAAGATAAAATAACACAGGGACATGAAAATAGAAGTACCAAAACCAGTCCATTAGATTAAGAAATTAGGAAATTCTTGGCTATTTTAATAAATTGTTTCATTTGGGGTGGGATGGTGGAAACCAGAACTCATTGGGTTGGGGAATGAGGAGGAAGGTAGAAACCACATAGCTAATTTCTATAAAACAAGATAGGGTGCTAGACAGGCAGAATTTTTCTTTCCTCTGAACCCGTAGGAGAGACCTCAGTAAGAATGACAATAAGGAATCTATTTTTATACATCCTCAAATATTTTTCTGTTGTACAGTTCTCTGCTTCTACAAATGTAAAAGTTTTAAATATATCTGCACATGTATTTTTATGTACCATTTAATGGTTTTTAGTATATTCACAGATACGTAGAGCCACCACTACAGGCAATTTTACAACTTTTTCATCACCCCAAAAAGAAACTGCATATTTTTAGCTATCACCTTTCTGTTCTCTGAGCTCTAATCTACTTTATATCTCTACAGATTTTCCTGTTTTGGACATCTCCTATGAATGAAATCATGTATATGTCTTTTGTGGACTGGCTTCATTCACTTAGCATAATATTTTCAAGTTTCATTCATGTTGTAGCATGTATCAGTACTTCTATTTTTTTTCCTATGTATGTATTTGTATTTGAATAAACATAAGTAAATCATGTAATGGCCAACATATAAGTAATTACTAATGTCGATATGGTTTAGAAACTTGTAGCTAATGTTAAATTTTGTGAGAAGATTTTTGTTAGGAATAACTAATGACTTAGTGTTCTCTCAGTGAAACACACAATCAGTTGCCAGATCTACATGGTACAAAAGTAGTATAAGTATGGCAAGTTTCCAGTAAAACTGTCAAGATTGGATATTGTTCAGAGAAATCTTCTAGATTTATTTTTAATGTTAGAAAAATTTAGTCAACCTTTCATTTCAAGATTTTTCTTGGGGCGCCTGGGTGGCTCAGTTGGTTAAGCGTCCGACTTCAGCTCAGGTCAAGATCTCACAGTCTGTGAGTTCAAGCCCTGACTGCTCAGAGCCTGGAGCCTGCTTTGGATTCTGTGTCTCCCTCTCTCTCTCTGCCCCTCCCCTGCTCATGCTCTGTCTCTATCTCAAAAATAAATTAAAAAAAAAAAAAAAAACATTAAAAAAAAAAAGATTTTTCTTATGATCATTAAATCTTTATCTTATTCTCAGCCAAATAAATAAACTTAACTCCAGGTGTTAAGTAATAATTTATCTGGAATTCCTATTTGCAAGAAATATTTGCAGAGGCTATACTTACTAGTCATTATCTGTTACAGATATTTGACCAAGCTCATATGGAATATTGGGAAGGAGGGGTGGTCAAATGGAAGCATTATTGTTTTCTGCTTTTTTATTTGCCACTGGTCTGCTAGCTGCATACAGTTTCTCTAAAGTTATTTCTCGTATAATGACGGGAACACTAAAAGATTGTTGCCTCTTCATTTTAGATAGTAGCTGATTGATCAGTGTGATTGAGGTCCCTGTTCTTATTATTTTTTAAATAATAGCATACATTGGTTCTCTTTAAAAGATTATACAATAATTTCAGTAAGTATGCCCACTTTTAGGTTCATGTGCTAAACCTTATGCCTTAAGAAATTTGTGGATTTGTTAGTTTGAGTGCTATATGCAGTGCTTCTATAAAGGATTATTAAATTTTAAGTTAATGATCATCACCAAATATCTAACCTTGATTACAGATTATAGGAAGCTTGGACTAAACTATAGTAGATAAAAGGCAGGAAGTGTAAATCTTGAGAATTTAAGGAAATGACCAGTCTTATTTTTCTAACAAGTTATATTTCTTAGTAACTGAAAATATAGTAAACCAGGCAGAAGCGTTTATTTTGTAAGTGGTCCAGATAATGATAAAAAGTCCTCTGCAATCTGTAGATCTACATGTGAAAGGGGAAAAAAGACTGAATTTATATCAATGGCTAGTAAAAGTGTTAGATTTTTCTCTCATGGAGATAACAAATTTATTTTTAGTGGCAATACATTTGCTGAAACACATTTCACAGATCTTTTGCCTACTGTTCAAAAACAGAAAATAATTTTTTTTTTCCTATCTTTTCTGATATAAGTACCCCTACCCTGGCTTTTTTTTTTTTTTTTTAATATTTTCCCCTGTTTCCATTTGCATGGTAAATGTTTTTCCACCCCTTCACTTTCAGTATGCATGTGTCTTTAGGTCTGAAATTAGACAGTAGATAGATGGATCCTGTTTTTTAGTCCAACCACCCACCCTGTGTGTTTTAATTGAAGTATTTAGTCTACTTACATTAAAAGTAATTATTGATAGGGGCGCCTGGGTGGCGCAGTCAGTTAAGCGTCCGACTTCAGCCAGGTCACGATCTCGCGGTCCGTGAGTTCGAGCCCCGCGTCAGGCTCTGGGCTGATGGCTCGGAGCCTGGAGCCTGTTTCCGATTCTGTGTCTCCCTCTCTCTCTGCCCCTCCCCCGTTCATGCTCTGTCTCTCTCTGTCCCAAAAATAAATAAATGTTGAAAAAAAAAAAAGTAATTATTGATAAGGATATATTTAAAGGCTTTTTTTTTCTGTTACTTGTTTTGTTGTGGTTGTTTTTGTAGTTCAGCGTTCCTTTCTTTTTCTCTTGCTCTCTTCCCTTGTGGTTTGATGCCTTTCATTAGTGGAATGCTTGGATTCCTTTCTCTTTTTTGTGTGTGCATTTATTGTAGGTTTTTGATTTGCGGTTACTGTTATGCCTATATATAACATGCATATAGCAATGTATATGAAGTTGATGGTCACTTAAGTTTGAACACATTCTAAAAGCACTAAATTTTTACTACCCCCCCCATGTTTTTGTATATGATATCACATTTTACATCCTTCTATTTTGTGTATCCCTTGATTGATTTTTGTAGATATAATTGCTTTTACTACTTGTGTGTTTTAACCTCTATACTGGCTTTAAAAGCAACTGATCTACTACCTTTATTACATGTTTGCATTTACCTATGAAACAGACCAACTTAAAAGTACTGTTTCATGGATACTTAATAAATTGTCTGCCTCGGATTCCTTTTTTTTAAAACAATAAGTGTATAAAATATGTAAGGAAAGTTACTGAGAATTAGATTGCATTCAAAAGGTTAGATGAAAAGAGGGTCTTGGAGTTATGTAAATAAGTCCTTTTCAGGGAGAAGTAAAAATGTCCCAACCTCCCAAAAAACTTTCAGGGGAAAAAAAATTAAAAGACTTGATGGGTAAAATAATTTGATTAATCGATTCCGTGCAGATACATTTGTTGAGCTCTTCTATATAGTCCAAATAACTATACAAAGATAATTGTAGCTTTTAAAGAAAAGTATGAAAGAAACAAGTTCTAAGAAATAGGAAGTTGTTCAAAGCAAAGGAAACCTCATGTTCAAGTAACCTGAAACATGAAGGAGCTTGGCAAGTACAAAGATAAGCCAAAATGATAAGAGTTTGTGATTGAGGAGTCTGAAGAGGTAAAGACCAAATCATGACTACCTTGTAGGCCACGTTTTGGATGTTTGTTTCTTAAATCAGAGCAGTGGCAATCCTGTGATAAATATTTAACCAAGGCAATAACATGTGGTCACACATGTGGTTTTTTTTTTTTTTTAATTTTTTTTTCAACGTTTATTTATTTTTGGGACAGAGAGAGACAGAGCATGAACGGGCGAGGAGCAGAGAGAGAGGGAGACACAGAATCGGGAACAGGCTCCAGGCTCTGAGCCATCAGCCCAGAGCCCGACGCGGGGCTCGAACTCACGGACCGTGAGATCGTGACCTGGTTGAAGTCGGACGCTTAACCAACTGCGCCACCCAGGCGCCCCACACATGTGTTTTTAAAAAGTCATTAGGGCTGTTCCAGGTAGAATAGATAAGGAGGAAATGAGGGAAGACACAAAGACACGATAGACTACTGCTACAGTAGTCAAGCCAGAGATCCGGCTTGCTTGGATCCAGGGTAGCAGCAGTGGAAATAAAAGAAAAGTAGATAGAAGGTAGGTAAAACTTGCAGTAGTAATTAACTGCATGGGAGAATTAGAAAATGGATTGTAGCAAGCCAGAATTCTTCTATAGTATGCTGGGTAAGAGATAGTGCCACTTACTGAATTCAGGAGTTTTAAAGGAGAACCAGGTTTGGGGGCAGAATTGAATATTGCTAGAATTTGTGTGAAAATGTAATCCCATTTTCACCTTTGGGTTCGCAGTCGCCAGGTAGGCATGTTTTTCTCTTGATTTTTCAACTAATGTAAAAAAAAATGTATGGTCAGATATCACTTGGTTTTATGAGACTTCTTTGCAATGAAAGAGGAAGGGTCAAACTCAGGGCTGATGTATAGTTAGACTTTCAGACAGTTTAAGCAGAGGCACTACATTCTCTGCTCTCTTAGAGTCTAAGAGGGATCTACTATGTATTACTTATTTGAGAGGGAAATATTAACCTTCGGCCTAGTTTTCTTGATCAGGGACATAACTGAATGATCTGTGAAGCTACTTCTGGTTTTAAGGTTCTCTGGGTGTGTTTGTTTATTTCACAAGCACACGAAATTTCCAATGAGCACAAGAATACTCTTTTGAGCCATGTTCTTGGTATGTGAGCAAGGAGGTCCTTTGGGTAGTGATACCATTTATTGTTATAGCATATTTGCATTAAATAGGACCCTAGTGGTCTAAAGGAGCACATGCAGGTACTCCCTAGAGCCCTTATTTATTTTTCAAGTTGAAGGCCTTGGGTTCATTTTTATTTTTATGGCAAAAGTTTCCAAAGTCTTAAAAATACATAATACAAGTTTACAGAATGATTTCAAAAGACTTCTTTTTCTGAGTCAGAATTAATAATGTAATTCATACTTCTCTGCTATAGTTCCATCTGTATACTAGCATTAGATTCCCTTAGGAATATTCCTGTTGTTACTGGCATTGCATGTTCTTTAGAGTACTGTTTCTATGGAGCTCAACATAACAAAGTCATGAACCTAACTAAAATTGTCTGTTTTCTTGCTATTTCTCAGCTTTATTAAGGAAGTAAAAGATTAATATGCTCTTATTATGTATATATCTACAGAACAGACTCCCATATACATATACCTAGCAGATCAAAATACCTGTTTTAAGAATCGCCATGTGTTGATAATTGTTAAAATTGAATAAAGGCTACATTGAGATTCATTACACAGCTCTCTTAACATTTGTATGTGTCTGAAATTTTCCATAATAAAAAATTAAACTAAAAAAAGTCATCTTTAATTTTTTTTAAACATTACTTTTTTTAGAAATCATCTACATATTCTAGCATCATGCTTATGATATACAGTTTTTAGGAGAAAAATGAGCCATAATAATTCAGTGTTAAGTTTTATATATAAGAGTCTTCATATTTTGTTTCAGGGACAGAATGATGCTGTTGAAATTGGAACAAGAAATTTTAGATTTCATTGGTAATAATGAGTAAGTCCTGACATTTAACAAGAAAACAAATTGTCATCATAGTTCTCCTTGACTTACTAAATTAGTTTTTCCTCTACTTCTAGGTCTCCACGTAAAAAATTTCCCCCAATGACATCTTACCATAGGATGCTATTACACAGAGTAGCTGCTTACTTTGGATTAGACCACAATGTTGATCAGAGCGGGAAGTCTGTCATAGTAAACAAAACTAGCAATACAAGAATGTAAGTATCAACAAATGTAGGCATTTGTTAAGTATGTGTGTGATTATAGTTTATCTTTCTACAGCACTTTTCATCTGAGGTTTTCCATAGGTTTTAGCAGCTTTATGACAACCTTATGTAATAGGGCCAAAAATACCTTTAGCATACCAGATACAAAATGCACCAGTCTAGACTAAAATAAGGCAGATGAATGAGGACTGGTTTAAAAAAGCAAAACCAAAAAAACTTCAGAAATCATATTAACAGTGCTGTTTCAAAACTATTCACTTGGATTTTTTTTTAATTTATGTAATTTAGATAGCTGTGGCCAACCTTAGGCAAATTTGTTTTGTTTTGTTTTGTGGCACATTTTGACACCCTCACATTTAATTTATCTTCCATCACTTTACAATCCTTTCAATCTCTGGTTTTGCTTCTTTCTCCCACAAATCTCGAGAAGGTGGGACTGTTGGTTAATAATATAGTATTATCCATAATGTTGTATTCCCCCTTCTGAGCTATGTACAATTGACCAAGGAAAAGATTTAAAGGAGTTAAGAGGAGCCATTTGCTTAAAAAGTGATAGCTTTATAGTGTTAGTGAATTGCAGCATCAGTACTGGTATTTGGGACCAAAAGGCCCAGTGCAGAGGCACCTAAAATTTTAACATGTACCACAGTATCTCCCCTGCTTCTCTTCCTTCCTTCCTTCCTTCCTTCCTTCCTTCCTTCCTTCCTTCCTTCTTCCTTTCCTTTCCTTTCCTTTCCTTTCCTTTCCTTTCCTTTCCTTTCCTTTCCTTTCCTTTCCTTTCCTTTCCTTTCCTT